TCTCTTGCAGCAAATGTTGCCATGTTGTGGAAGTTTAAGAGCACGTATTACTAACATATTAGATATTATTGTGTACAGAAATTAATTCATTACCACCTCTCCATCTGTCACTCTAGAGTTCACTCTGGGTAGTTTCTGCAGCGTTGTGGATGTGACCAACTTCTCCAGACTGCAGACTCTGCGGCTGGATGGGAACGAGATCAGTCGCCAGGACATCCCATCAGACTCAGCCCTCTGCCTGCGCCAGGCTTCCACCATTGAGGTCTAACTGTGTGTATGACACAATGTGTGACTAAGTTTATAGCATGCACCAAGTGTGACACATTATTAGTGAGACGTTCCTAAACCAAAGCTCCGCAGGGTTGATGATATAATTTAATATCAACAGCAGGTGGCAGCAGTTTGTACTGTAATATCCATTATTCACATCGCAGTAATTGTCATATGTGGTTGTTTACATGCCAGTGGAATTACATGTCACATTTCGCTCTACATTTTCTGTGGAAAATATAAAGAAGTCAATCCTCTTAAAACATTATGTCAAATCTTGACAAATTGCCAAGTCTGGTTTTATTTGATTAAATAGAGCTAAATGAGCCCTAAGCCACAAAACAAAGTGTATAAGCCTAATAAGATACTGTATGAGCCACATATGATGTTTCTTTCTTGCGTATTGAAAGTTATTTGACCCTGATCCTCTTTATATGTTGTTGTGAGGATCAATGATCTTTGTAATCAGTGTTTTTAGCTGTCTTTATCTCACTGTTTCTTTCTCTCAAAGCATGCCTTCAATTGTTTTGTCTGATAAGTTGATAAAAAAACTAAATTATGTATGTTATGTGAATTGTTTAATTTCAAATCATTAGCTAATGTGAAAGCATTTTCTTCACCATGTCCCAAAGCGATATCTTTGGGATCCTCTTTTTTCAAGGTGAAATCAACTTTCCTTTGAGACATAGATAGATATCTATGTACCATGTGAACAATATCTACTTACTGTACTGTAGTGAATCACACACAGAAGCCTTCAAGTGTATGAATTATGAGCATTGCAGGGATTGGTTATAATACTGACAAAGGATTTATGTTTATGAGCCTATTGCAAAATAAATAAAAGTTGGGATTTTTAAAAATCTTTTTATAGTACATCCAGTATTTTGTAGTGTGCTGTTATTTAATGTCTCTTGTCTGTGTGTGTGTGTGTG